TACATTTATTCCAATTGTCTCTGTGTTGGCTGTACACTGTTTACTGCTGTTTCATTCCTAAAACTTGTTTGTATTCAAAATAAGTTTTGACAATGCATATTCATTTTGAAACAAAGTATGATAAAGGAAACAATATAACAAAGAGCAAGATCACCAGAGTTTAACTATGTTGACATTTAATTGAAAACATTCAGTGAACCAAATGATTGTATCCCAGTTATTGTATATAGCTTTGGAGACAAAAGTTGTGGTTTGTATTTAGATGACAAAATTTGATTCTTGTGATCAACATTTCAATAAACAAGTAAATAAATCTTTTATTGTGTATTAAAAAAGTTCAATAATTTGGTCAAGCAAAAGTCAATGTTATTAATTTGATGTAATTTGTATTCTAAGATTTTTATCCATGACATCTATAAACAAAGCTGTCTTAAGTTCAGTTATTCATGTGGTGTCTGTGTTGCTCCTTTCTGTTTTTTTTGTAAAAATTCACAATTTAAGAACCACCCTCTTTCTCTATGGCAACAAGTAACCAGAAGTTGATTCATGGTCTTGTGCCATATATGAACAACTTGCCTGAATTAGAGTTTGTCAACTCTTACAAAATAAATGTTTTTTTGTTAATTTTCCCAGACTGTTGGATCTAGGATTTGAAAAAGATATTGCAGCCATTTTGAACAAACTCAACCTAGAAAGTGGCGAGAGGCAGTCAGTGTTATTATCCGCTACTCTCAGTGAAGGTGAGGTTGCCCAACTGTTTATGTTTCTTTTATTACACACATTTGAGTTGTATTGTGGTTTTATAAAGCCTGTATGAAACATTAATTTGTGGTGCTCTGCAAAATATTGAACTGTTTTTGACAATAAGAATACATGGAGTACGGTATATTTTTGTGAATATATACAGTCAAACCTGTGTTAACGACCACCTGTGCAGAGCGGCCACCTGCTCATAGCGACCACCTTAGTACAGTCCCTTTGCAATTTACACGTTAACGACACTGGATATAGCGACCACATGTCCAACGCGACCAGCGACCACCCTATTGTAGACCTATTCACACTTTAACCTTTGTATAACGACCACCAACATTTCCATCAGACGGTCTCAGCAAAAAGACAATAGCTACTTGCGAATTGCTAACAGGAACGTGGCCACATGTTACGTTCAGATTACCAAGTATGCAATCTTTAGGGTTAATAGACAGGGTGACCATCGCAACTTGGTTTGTGAAGTTGCGAAAAAGTAAGAAAAAAAAAAGTTGAATATCATCTGAATGTAACGTCTGGAGACTGGAAAAATGTTAACAACAAATTAAAAGAGTTTCATTCAAAGTTTGAAATGAAAAACTAGCTTGTTTCTGATCTATACTATCAATCCCCAGCCGGCCAGCGGTACTTTTGTGGACTGTCTCGCACATGAAGAGCAAATTCCTCCCGTCTCGAAAACGAGAAAAATGAACCAGTTTTATTAAATGAGAGATGTTTTATTTACTTTGTCGGCATGAAATATCCAAACAAAATAATAAAACATTTGTTTATTTCATTGTCATCGCGGGATTGCAAAATCCGATCTATTTTGGCCGCCATGTTGTTTGTTGATCGTTATAAATTATGCTAATGAAGCTAGCACATGGGCAAAACGTATTGTTACTGAGGGGTCATCTCAGGGTTATTCTCAACGAAAGATGTTTTCTATTTCGATCCTATTTTTTTTTTATAAACAGTAATATCAATAATTCGCAATCGAGAAAATTTTTTTCGTTTGGGCAGTTTTGACACGTCTATGCTTGAAACAAATAACTGTAAAATTGTGTGTACGATCATGAGTGACTTTTATTAAAAAAGACATATTCATTGTACAATGTGTAGGTTTGTTTTTATGCTTTGCTTATGATCTCCCTTAAAATTCATGCCCTAATTAATATTCATGATTGAATGAATAAATTAGGCCACCTCCATATAAAGACCACCTGTCTATTATAAAGGACAGTTTGGCTCAGTCCACTGACTGTCCTTTATAGACAGGTTTGACTGTCCTTTATAGACAGGTTTGACTGTACCATAAATATATAAGGGAATTAATTTTAAACATTAGAATTGTTTCCCTGATATACAAGTTTACAAGCTGGATGAGATTTCAGCATAATTAATAAAAGTATTATTCAAAGAGTTGTTCAAAATGAGTGTCAATCATGAGTTTATGCAACATCAAAGTGTTAATTTCTAGCTGTTTGTTACTGCTATCACCCGATGGTCTCTGGTGTTGCTTCTATCACCCAATGCTCGCAGGTGTTGCTTCTATCACCCGATGGTCTCTGGTGTTGCTTCTATCACCCGATGGTCGCAGGTATTGCTTCCATCACCCAATGGTCGCAGGTATTGCTTCTATCACCCGATGGTCTCTGGTGTTGCTTCTATCACCCAATGCTCGCAGGTGTTGCTTCTATCACCCGATGGTCTCTGGTGTTGCTTCTATCACCCAATGGTCGCAGGTGTTGCTTCTATCACCCAATGCTCGCAGGTGTTGCTTCTATCACCCGATGGTTGCAGTTGTTGCTTCTATCACCCGATGGTTGCAGTTGTTGCTTCCATCACCCAATTCTTACCTAATTTGCATAAATTAACCAATTTATCACGAGTACCACTCATCAAATTTCAATGAAATTTGGTACATAGGTGCTTTATTTATAGATGTGATTATTTCATATATCAAATATGTTAATTACCTACTTTATACAAATACGTTCACATGATCTCATTAATATGCATATTAAAGTGTGATATATATAGTGACATGCAACCAGTGCTCTAATGAAAGCACAGGACAAGAGACATGACTTATGTATCAGATGTCTATATATGGTCATGTGACCTTGATAATATGCGTGATATGAAATATCACATCATCATATATAGTCATAATTTCATTAATTATTTATTAGAACGAAGTCCGAACCAAGTACTTTATAATTCGGTCTTCGTCCGTTCGAAATCATATTTCAGAACCTTATGGACCAAATCTGTTCATTGTTTGCATGTGCCCAGTACTTTATCTGGGACATATGCACAGTGGTTTACGGATTTAATCCAAGATGGCTGACTGGCAGTCATTTAGTTTTTTGAAAATGTGGTATTTTATGTGTGCTTTGTCATTTTTTGTTCAAATTTAGTACATACATTATTCATGTTAGGATAAATGTCCATTGCGATTCGTTTCGCAAGTGGATCAAAGATGGCCAACTGGCGGTCATCTTGCTTTTAAACTATACTATTATATCTCCACGGCTTATGGACCATTTTCATTCATATTTGTCAGTTTTCAAATTTGATAAGACATTATACATGTTAAAATACATGTTCATGATGATTCGTTTTATGTTTTGTATCCCTGTACATGTGACTCGACAAATGAAATTCAATTTGGATACAAAAAAAACATGAATAGCATATCCTGTTTAATTTCTGACCATATACATGTATTACAAATTAATACATCTAAATTCTGTTGATACTAGACAAACCAATAATTCACTCTAAATTATAAAGTATGCTTTTGGTTCATAACCACCGTGATCACTGCTTGTAGTTGCATTTTTCACTTTCCGATTTATTCTATTAGAAGCATATCTGTTCAAATAACAAAGACAAGTCTGTGGTGAAAATAAGACATACTTCAATGTTTTTGCATACAATAAATACAGTTTTTGCTTTATATGAATTGAAGATGTGTTCTAATAATGTAAATATAATATTCCTTATTTGTACTCAATACCCTTAGTACATGGGAGTTCTTTCTAATCTTTTTTTTTTTTTTATGGCTTAGCTGTTAAAAGTTTAGCATGTATGTCCCTGAAAGATCCAGTCTATGTAAATATACAAGGTGATGTGAATACTGCTAGTAATAAAGACGTAACATCAACAATGGAACAATCTATTGATGTATCCACTCCTAAACAACTACGGCAATACTTCATTATAGTGCCAAGTAAACTGAGGCTTGTCACACTCGCTGCATTCATCATCAGCAAATGCAAGGTATGTAAGCTAAAACACTGATTGTAACAAAACCTGCAAATATGATTCATGTGTTTTTGGCACCCTTTGATACTATGTTTGATTACAAGTTAGTTTCTGAAATTGGTTCATGATGTGCATGAACATTGTAGCTTGTACATCATAGCTTGTACAACCCCAAATTTGTGGCAAGTGATGACTATACTTTCTGTATTTTCAAAATTGTTCTTAGTACACATAACAAATCAGGAGTACTGTAGAATACTTTATTTTTGCTATTTTCGCTGAAAGGGATGATTCCGTGAAAATAAAATCCAGCGAATATACTTTTTTTCCTATATTTCACATTAAACTCATCAAAAATCAGTAAAAAGAAATTCCATACAAAACGCCCAAAAAGCCTTTTCAGCGAAAATTAATTCCAGCAAAAATAAAGTATTTCACAGTAAACTGTCTGCAGGGTAACTGAAATCTTCTAAACCTGTAAATGTACCCTTCATTAGTATATGTTTGACATAACAAACTAAAAATATTTGTATTTTAATTTATGAAAAATGTTTATTTTCCAGCTTGCTTCCGAGTCCAAAATGATAATATTTCTATCCAGCAAAGATTCTGTGGAATTCCATTATAGTCTTCTTATCAATGTTTTAAATGACGAGGACAATGATGATGATGATTTAGAAATATTTCAGCTCCATGGTAGTATGCCACAGGAGGTAAGGTCCAGCATACCACTAGTTTTACTATGCTTACTCAATTTACCAAAATCTAATGTTAAGCATGGTATAGATAGTGGGCTTATTGACTGAGGGAGCCCTATGTTGGACATTTTGTACAAGCCCAGGTGCCATTGAAATTGGTCACCTAGGGGGTCCAGCACCCTCTATCTCCAGTTCTAAAGTCATAAAAAAAGGATGTCTAAAAGATGCCCAAAAGTATAGCTTTTCAGAAGTTCAGAAGTCAAGATATCGTTTGCTGATGTTGACCCTTCACATCTGCCTGGGACGGTGAGGTTATACTCTTCTGATTTCTTTTTTGTTTGAAAATAGTTTTCTGGAGAGGTCGGATTTTCATATGGTTCGACCACCATTTTGGCAGTTATCAAAGACAGACAGACTGTTTTGTTAGTTCCAAATGAAGTCGGGACTCGTAATTTTGTCTCCGTCCATCAGGAGTCATATTTCAGAACCCTCTTGACCGAATCCATTCTTTCTTTGCTTGTCCCGAGTACGATGTCTGGGACATATGCACATGCAGTGGTTTAGTGATTCGATTCAAGATGGCCGACAGGCAGCAGCCATTTTGTTTTTTGAAAATGTGGTATCTTAGACATACTTAGTCATTTTTTTTGTTCAAATTTGGTACCCTGGAATTGCTAAAAAAATTTCAACATGTGACTTCTTTGGACGGTAAGCAAACTACCGATAGTGTAGTCTACCCAATGCTAAACATCAGAATTGGCAAGGTAAGTATGACTTCACTGTGTAAAATTTTGAATTATGCCAAGGAAAATTTGTTTTAATTTGCTATATTTGAAGTCATTTCACTCTTCTAGGAGTACGTAATATCACCATCATAACAAGTTATTTATTCTAAAATCTCTTGTTGTTGTTTTTCTAGTTTTGCAACAGCTTTCAGTTTTACACTGTTTTTAAGAAATTAACCATATAAAGTTGTTGCTGGAAACAAACCTATTTATAATTCAGATGTTTACATCATTTCTACATTCAGTATTTTAAACCAAGAGAACGTGACTTACTGCAAATATTTTTTAATCATTTTTCAATCTTCAGGAAAGAAGAAAAGTTTATCTTCACTTTGTTGAATGTACCACTGGAGTTTTGTTATGTACAGTAAGTATCTAACATAAGATGTATATGAGTTAATATTTGGTAATCATTGTCCTAATATTCAAAATAACTAGGCTTTTTGAGCAATTGTTCTTCTTTGATAGCATTTAAACAACAATGACAATTTAAGAGTATAATTATGTTAATTTATGTTGCCATGACACAATCTAATTAAAGGTCTCAAATCCTGGTAATTTGTGGTGGGACTAATTCATTATAATTAAACTTTTTTGAATTAAAAAACAGTCAACACTACAAATATTGAGAGAAAAATGATTATCGTTAAACATTTAGGTACCAGGATGTGTGACCTTTAAGTACCAGGATGTGTGACCTTTAGGGGTGATGCATAATGCTTAATAAGATCTCTACTTCACGTACCTAACTGAATCCTCATTGCAATAGTTGAATGTCTTTGACTTTGTTGAATTCTGCAGGATGTTGCTGCTAGGGGGTTAGATCTCCCCGAAGTAAAATGGATTGTGCAGTATAACACACCAGGAACAGCAGCAGAATACATTCATCGTGTAGGGAGGACAGCTAGGATTGGCAAGAAGGGACAGGCACTACTATTTCTTGCTCCATCTGAAGTTGAATATGTTCAGGTTCTGGGTTCACATAAATTAAGGTGTGTGTGTGTGTCTCATCCATTATTTGCAAGGCATATACATATGCCTTTACCATGTGAAGTAGTATGTGCCATATCAGTCAATATAAAGTCCATCCATTTTGGAAGCTCAGTCCTTTGTGTTTAAAGGAACTATGAGGTATTGACTGCCCCAACAAAGATATGCCTACCCAGACAACATATGTTGAAATGTGTTAAAACTGGTTGCCATGGCAATGACTCAAACAGGTATGGTGGCAAATGATAACAACAGTAGATTTGTATAATATGCAAATATTTCCGCTTTATTATGCAAATTAGGGAGAACCTGCAAAAAATCCAATGTTAACATGAGTTTTTGTGTTCATCACAATAATGAACCAATAATTTGTCCGTTTGAGACGACTAGGAAGGTGTATGGTTACTCCTATACCATCATATGACTACCTACAATTAGAAAGATTGAAAAGTGGTACAAATGTGTTGCCATAACAACACAAAAAAGCTACAAATTTGACATGTCCTCCAAAGATTCTACATATTCTGAGCATTCCATAAAGGTACTTGCACCATTCCTAAATGCTATCCCTCTGATAGCCTGTCTGACTACCTACTTATAGATATGTAAAATGTGTAATATTTTTACCTGATAGGATACCCCAAAATATTTAATGTTATTATAATTTCTTTTTGTTCATCACATACTTGTGTGGTTGAGAGAACTATGGGGTTACCTGGTTGCTCCTATAACAGGATATGCCAACCCAAACAATTAGGAATCTTTAAAAGTGATGAAAATCTGTTGCCATTGCAACATCGCTATGCTACCATGTTAATATGTCCAGCAAAGATTTTCCTAATCTACTGGTACTGACTGTCCAGAAAAGGTATCGTGGGACTTGCTCGCAAAATGGTATCAACAATCTCTCTGACTCGTGGACTATATACCAAATGTAACATTATGGTATTTGGAAGATATCTGGGGCAAAACACACCCTGAAGTAATCGATTGGTCATTAGTAATTAGTAATTATTTCAGTAACCTATTCAGATTTAGCCTGATGTAAACAATTCTCACCGTATGTCAAAATGTCATTTGATTACACATGGTGAAAAAAATCATACGTAGTTATAAGACAGTAATTGATGGTTGTCATGAATATGATGAATTATCAGTAAATTCAGATAAGTTTCTGATATTTTTTTTTCATGAAATACTGTATTTCCCCAGGTCATAAGCCCAGGGGCCTCAACATGTAAAATTGGGGAAAGAAAGGGGTGTGTGTATACACTTTTACAATGAAGAAACAAAAATGTTCATAAAAATACATAATATTTGGAGGAAGTATTTAACACTTTTCACAGACTCCAACAGGTAACGTTGAAGGCATAGTTTACATCCCAGCTCTCCCATTCATAATAGTTTCAATGGACAACATCTTTTAAGTTTAAACTTCTTGTGACCTTGGCTATGCATCAACTGATAATGCAATAATACTGTCTTATTTTGATTCTTTACATACTGTAGTTTACAGGAAATAGACATGAATGGCGTCTTGAAACATCTATTGCTGTATAAGATGGGTCGAATGAAACGAACTGTGGAAGAATCAGCAACAGCGTTACAGAGAGACTTTGAGGAGTGGGTGAACCAGGACATCAAATTCCAGAAGTTAGCCAGGAGTGGTAAGTGAAACCGGTGACAAACATGATGAGACCGCAATATTGGTCACCGATAATGTAGTGGTTTCTGCTCCAGGGATTGGTCTTTTATTCAATTCATATCTGTAGTAAAACACCTGAAATGGATTAGGAAGTGTACCCTGAGTGAAGATGCCATAGATTTTATGAACAGGTCTAAGCCACTACCTGAGATTCACAAATGTGACTTTGGTTAATATCTGCAGTGTATATTGCTTTAAAGGAAAAGTCCAAGCAAACTACAAAATGCTACCAGACAAAGAGACTCCACAAATGCAGGAGAATGCAATCTAGAGTTTGTATCCCCTATCAAGTGCAATTGGGGGATATAATGGTTACCAGCCGTTCATCTGTGCCTCTATACAAAGCACTGTTGTAGAGACAATCACACAGTGTTGTATTGAAAACATTGGGCTCATCATCTGATCAAAATATTTAATAACTGTATATGGTCATGTGACCTCATTAAAAATACATAAGGCTACACTGATTTAATTTTATGGATGACATCCTCTGGAGACCCCAAAACTAATGCGAGAGGGCAAAAAAAAAAAAATCCTGCCAAAAAAAAAAAATCCTGCTAAAACCACAGGACTACGGAGCTGTTATTATGAATTGAACCACAGTGTATCAAAAAATCAAGTCTTGATTTGTAGGAGGCACATGTTGATGTACACATCTCGTACTGTATAACTGTCACAGATATCATCACCTTTGATTTTTAAAAGGCAAGAGGAAAAGGCAGATGTTAGCTTTGCCAAAGGCATACACATCAAGTCAATAATAAAGAAAAACTTACTGTGTTGTATTGAAAAAAAAAAATTTTTAAACAATAAGTTTGTCAACAGCAACCTGGAAAACCTTCTTTGACATTCAAACTACAGCTTTTAAAGTGACACTTCAGATAGACTAAGTGTAGACACAAATGCTCTAGTACTACTTCAACTATGTAACAAACTATAAGAGGCTTGATATTGGAAAAAAAAACATCAACAGAGAGTCAACAAAAATTTGGATGCAGAAAATTATGTACATGTATCTTGATGAAAATTTGTAATATGATCAAAATATTACTGACTGTGTGTGCAAGCAAATTATCCGAATCAGAAAATGAAAAAAAAATAATAAGAACTTTTCTTCACCCCGAAAGGGGACTTCGGTCAAGGAGCTCCCGCTGCTTTCATTACAGTTTTGTCGACTTCAATGCGGACAAAGTAATCGAACTGACTTGTTGCCTGACCGACTTTTAGGCCACCATACACCTCCACTCCTCTCCCATTTCTCTCATCGCTGCAGAAGAAACGCGGGACAGCCACTCTGGACAATATGTCCTTAAAGTTGTCTGGGCGAAACTCGCTTGCCGCTACCGATCTCTCGTATTGCTGTGTAAACGTCACATCTCCCTGGCCAACATCAATTGCGTACCAGTCTACAACAATCCCTCCGTTTTACCTCTGAACTTTTATGCTCATGTATTTTGGTGGTGTGGTCGCCATGTTGGATCATTTATGACAATTTTGGCATGTTTTGAGACAATCTCCTTCCAGTAGGTCTTTGCGCTTTACGTAACGCGCATCTAACTGTGCGGAGTTTGGTTTTGAGGTAGTCCAAAACGAGTTTTACGACAAGTTGGCACTTTGCGACAATATGAGCCGGCAAGTTCCAGACAGAAAACCGATCTGTGGAGACTCGTCGCCGGAGATTTTTTATTTTTTTTGAGAGAGAGAACAGGTGAAAACTAATGTGCGCGCGGATGTCATCCATAAAATCAAGTCGGTGTGGCCTAACTATTCTATCTGAAGCACTCTTGCAGATGTAGATATTCAACCAGTGCTTGAAATAATGTCAGGAGATCTGCCGGCTCTGATGGCTTTCTTGTTTTTACATGACTTTTCATTCCCTAGATTCTCAACTTTTCATCAGTATTATGTAGTCAAACATCTTGCTTCTCCAGCAAAGGATTATGGGTAATATATGATGTCATAGTCACTGTTGTGGAAATTTGCATTCTCCTATATTTGTGGAGCTCTTATAACCGGGAGCATTATGTTGTTTGTGCAGACTTCCCCTAGTCTAGGCACTTTTCATGCTGTCTGAATATGGAGTATGGTTTCCTCGGCAAAAAGCACTGTATCCACAGTTTTTACTCATCATGGAGTAGTCAGGAAAACAAATTGTTTACTTACAGTGGTGATTAGTTTTAACAAGCAAGGTGTTTGGTTCTATACTCTATGGGGTTGTTCACAGTACAGATCTCAACGTGTGTTGACTCCGTATGTGTGAACGGTCGGGCCGAGTCAGCATCTGTCGAAAAGAAGTCGATCTAGGTTCCAGTAGAGAGTCAGAACCAAGATTTGCCACCTGAACACTCGGCATGAGCCAAAATCATGCCCTCAGTGTTGAACTTAAGAGAACACATACTATTTCATACTATTATACATCTGTCAAACAAACATGGCTGCCACCAGGGTTTGACCGGACTCCACACAAAGAAGTTTGCTGATTCTGTTCTAAACTTTTTGGATTTCGGCATTCCCACGATGTATCCCAAAGATGTATAATAATAAAGTTATTACGAGGATACCTAAAGTATCCATCGACCTCCGCTGCGCATCAGCCGATACTGTGTTCGTGCATACTTTGGGGTATCCTCGTACTAAACTCATGAAGATGAAGGCAAGTGCAGCTAGACATGGGTGGATACTGAAGTAATGAATGAAATGAATGCAGAACATTGTCAGCAACACATATTTATGTGCTGCTGTAACCAGTTTCTTTTTGCTTTGCGACACCAACATGAAAAAACAGTTCTTTGCCATTCTTGTGTACAATAACAGCAAATGGATAGGATTTCAAAAAAGTAATTATTATCATCATATGCTTATTGTCTACTATGTTTTGGTCAACTAACAGGTCGCTGAATGAGGGCGTGATTTTTGACACGAGCTGAGTGGGTCCTGATGTGAGTTCCTCCATGAATGATTAAAAAGTTCTGCACACATGCCGATATTCCGTAACGTGAACAATAGTATATGTCTGTTAATAACAATGTGGTGCTGTAACACCTGTGACATGCAAGGAAAAACAAATAGTTTCATCAATGGAAACATGATCAAATCCATATTAGACAGGGAGTCAATCATTTCTATATGGCTGACACATGCCTTCATTGGAGTGATGTATTATTAAATTAAAATAAATTAAAATAAAATAAATTAATACATATTTAGAAAAAAATAAATGAATAAATAAAAGAAGCCCAAACAAGGATCTTATTTTAATCAGATTTTTCTGAACCTGACTGTCATTTTTTTTTGTCTCAGCTTATCAATCTTTCACCAGAGCATACGCCACTTATCCAAGTGAATTCAAACATATCTTCCACATCAAGCGTTTGCATCTTGGTCACGTAGCAAAAAGTTTTGCACTGCGAGAAGCCCCACAGGCAATTGGAAACACGCTTCCAAAAAGGTGAGTATAGCGCTATCTAGAGTCAATATATTTTGTTTATTTTGTTTTTTTTTCTGAACAAAAGAGGGCAGTGTTAACACTAGATCAAAGCATTGTTTTTTTGGCTTCATCAAAATTCAAACACTAATTTATATTATAATTTTTCACCTACATGAGTTGAAATGTTTGTATGTACTACACATATGCAAAGAACACCTAGACAGCTAGCTTTGTATATGCAAACAGCACCTAGACAGCTAGCTATGTATATGCAAACAACACCTAGACAGCTAGCTATGTATATGCAAACAGCACCTAGACAGCTAGCTTTGTATATGCAAACAACACCTAGACAGCTAGCTATGTATATGCAAAGAACACCTAGACAGCTAGCTATGTATATGCAAACAGCACCTAGACAGCTAGTTTTTTATATGCAAACAGTACCTAGACAGCTCGCATTTTATATGCAAACAGCACCTAGACAGCTAGCTATGTATATGCAAACAGCACCTAGACAGCTAGCTATGTATATGCAAAGAACACCTAGACAGCTAGCTATGTATATGCAAACAGTACCTAGACAGCTAGTTTTTTATATGCAAACAGTACCTAGACAGCTCGCATTTTATATGTAAACAGCACCTAGACAGCTAGCTTTGTATATGCAAACAGCACCTAGACAGCTAGCTTTGTATATGCAAACAGCACCTAGACAGCTAGCTATGTATATGCAAACAGCACCTAGACAGCTAGCTATGTATATGCAAACAACACCTAGACAGCTAGCTATGTATATGCAAACAGCACCTAGACAGCTAGCTATGTATATGCAAACAGCACCTAGACAGCTAGCTATGTATATGCAAACAGCACCTAGACAGCTAGCTATGTATATGCAAACAGCACCTAGACAGCTAGCTATGTATATGCAAACAGCACCGAGACAGCTTGCTTTGTATATGCAAACAGCACCTAGACAGCTAGCTATGCATATGCACACAGCACCTAGCTATGTATATGCAAACAGTACCTAGACAGCTAGCTTTGTATATGCAAACAGCATCTAGACGGCTAGCTATGTATATGCAAACAGCACCTAGACCGCTAGCTATGCATATGCAAACAGCACCTAGACAGCTAGCTTTGTATATGCAAACAGCACCTAGACAGCTACCTTTGTATATGCAAACAGCACCTAGACAGCTAGCTTTGTATATGCAAACAGCACCTAGACAGCTAACTTTGTATATGCAAACAGCACCTAGACAGCTAGCTTTGTATATGCAAATAGCACCTAGACAGCTAGCTTTGTATATGCAAACAGCACCTAGACGGCTAGCTTTGTATATGCAAACAGCACCTACACAGCTAGCTATGCATAAGCAAACAACACCTAGACAGCTAGCTTTGAATATGTAAACAGCACCTAGACAGCTAGCTTTGTATATGCAAACAGCACCTAGACAGCTAGCTTTGTATATGCAAACAGCACCTAGACAGCTAGCTATGTATATGCAAACAGCACCTAGACAGCTAGCTATGTATATGCAAACAACACCTAGACAGCTAGCTATGTATATGCAAACAGCACCTAGACAGCTAGCTATGTATATGCAAACAGCACCTAGACAGCTAGCTATGTATATGCAAACAGCACCTAGACAGCTAGCTATGTATATGCAAACAGCACCTAGACAGCTAGCTATGTATATGCAAACAGCACCTAGACAGCTTGCTTTGTATATGCAAACAGCACCTAGACAGCTAACTTTGTATATGCAAAGAACACCTAGACAGCTAGCTATGCATATGCAAACAACACCTAGACAGATGAAAATTATTTGGTTGGTAACAATTTCATGTTGCTATGGTAACATGACATTTCACCACGTGTTTACTTATTTTTTTAGCACAAAGGTACTACAGTACAGATCAAAAGACCGTATTTGCTCTATTAGAAGTGTATACGTAAATTACTCATGTTTTTCTATGGTCAAAATATATCAGATTTTAATGATTCGATATACAACAAATTTATATGTATTTCTAATAGAGCAAACACGGTATAAGGACAAATTAGGGAAAACTGGCAATTACAAGTTAATCTTTTGATTTGGCAGTCCCATTCTTCCAGTGACATGTATATTACTAGATACCAAGTAATACCGGTAGATAGTGATGTATGATTCTGGTGATATATGATTAAGATCATACAAGAAATTTTGAGATACATTCTATATTAATTTGCGCTAGTAGTTTATGGCAAAAAATAAAATCGTCTCATCGTCTTGGGCTGTATTTCTAGTATCCTTGCATATCTAAAATGTCTTCTGCCTTCTTGCATTGCATCATTTGTTTTCATGATTCTGTCACTGTGCACACTCAGGTCATTTGTCATTTGTTATACTGTAAAAGGGTTAATTATTCACTGGGTTTTAATTTTGCTTATTTCATTGACTGGAAAATGCGCTAAATTAAAACCCAGTGAATATCAAAATTAAATAAAAGTAATAAAACCATGAATTTAAAACCCATTGAATATGCCTGAAATGGTAAATCAGCGAAATTTAAACCCAGTGAAAATTAGTCATTTTACAGTACTTGTTTACTTTTAACAAAATATTTACTAGCATCTTGCAACAATTTTGGTGCTTATTTTTCAACTTCAGTCCTGAAGTCAGCTTTTGTCAAAGTCTAAGGTCATTTGAAAATTATTTGATCTGAAATTAACAAAGAATTTATAAAAAATGTCCAAAAATGAATGCCAAAGGGTTAATACAAAATCACGTCACATGATGTTTATTACTTATTACCGTCCGTTATAAATTCTGTTTCATGTTTCCGACCAAGATATTGCACATTCCTTGTTATTGATTAAAATCATTGGCAACTTTATTCCATTGACAGAAACTAGAATGAAAAGTCAGAGCGGCCACTTTTATCACATGCACCTACCAGAAACAATATTTATTTTGGCCTTATCTGAAATATTTGCAAATATTTCTCTCAATGGTCATTGTATTGACCAATACGTCTTTTTTCAACTGAAAAATATTGGACGGTTGTTTTGATGGTATATATGTCAATAAAAATAATTTGAAATGTCAAGTTTTTGAATTTAATTTAAAATTTAATTCTAGTGACAGAATAAAAACAATGATATTGTGTTTTTCTCATAGTATTTCACCCAATGAATGGTGGACGCAGGCTCAAAGCATTCCAACAAAGAAAATGACTTTATTAGTGTCCATATTGTTACTGTGAGGCAGGGGTCAGAACAATATTATTTGCATGTAGTACTGTACTGTTCCACAGGCCAGTCAATGTATCATTTGATTTTGTAGCCAATTATTATTTAGTAGCAAATACCATGAAAAAGTTATTTTGAATAATGAGTGAGGACGATACATCAATAATAATGTCATTTCTTTCTTGCTTTCACTGTACAGCAGACTACATGATTTTTTGTACTGTAAAACAAAATAATTATTCGATTATAATTATTAATTATTTGTTGATTAGGTTTTAAAGTGATGGCGCCCTCAAATTTTCAATCTCACTATTTAATTTAAATCAGCTTAACATCCCAAATATTGAATGTAATATCACTGTGAAATACTGATGGTAGTCTAACTAATTATTAGACCTCAACCTGACTGGTAATTACTGAATCGTGACTCACATAGTAATACTGCCCTCAGGTGGTGAGATTTTGTCAGTGTTAGACTAGTTCCCTGCTGTCAACCATGTGAGCAAGATAAAAGATAAATGCTTTTTGTGTCGACAAATCTCATTGGCTCTTGTGTGTGGCTGTTTCACTGAATGTGATTGGTTCATTTTGTTGTAGAGGAACATCTTCTATGTACGTGAAAAAATGTTTTAGCGCATTGTGCACAAAATATTGTACCTTTTCATTTAACTTTTAAAAACTGATGGTGTTGCTATGGCAATCACATGAATACCATACCATACTGTTTAGCGTGTACTAACAGTCTGTTAAAAAACAACATTTGCGTGGCTCTTTGCAGACTGTCCGACATGCCAACAATGGCTGCAGATGGCGAGGGAGCTATTCCACACCTTAAGTCTGTTGCCACGGTACCTCACATCCATGATATTCTCCCATTTTGATAAGTCATTGGAATAGTTGTTAGGGATTAAATTCCAAGCAGTTGCTATCTACCAGGGAGCCCACCTTCAGCTTTGTATGTTTGCTGTGTGTGCCTCTGTTCTTTTGTGTTCAACTGGAAAGTCTTGATTCTCAGTCTTGTTACTAAGATATAATAAGACCTAGATGTCTTTATTTACCTGAGACTTCACCAACTTCTCTCTTCCCAAGCAGTTTTAATGTTGATCTTATTGCCACATTTATAATTGTTTTTGTTTCATATATTACAGTAATTATAAATTTATACATACATTGATGCATTCATCCCGCTGTAGATCTTTTCAGTTGTTATACTCTGCCATGCGTGATACATGTGCACACATATCATATGCCATGCCTGCAAAATACATTGTATGAACATGCACTACTGTGAATTAAATTTACTCTCTGGGAGTATCGTTTTTTTAGAAGTGTATTTTATTCTCTCTATTTACACTGAAGGGGTAGAATTTAAAAAAGTAAATTTGTCTGAAGTTATTCCTCACCCTTTCAATGTTGTAAAACTCAATGCACACACGCATAATGTACAAATATGTTTTCAGTAAAATGATTGTTCCACAGATGAATCTGTTGTAAGGATAGACACAGCTAACAAGATGCTTGTGGACATTTTAAAAACACTAAAAATTCTTAATAATTTCCCTGTAGTATTAAACTCTACTTTGATGTCAATTTTTGAAAAAAATATGCAAAATATATACAATTAAGGTGCATAATTCAAAAACTAGTTTGCATACCATATTATTTTTTCTTGAGAATTTAAAACAGCTGCTTACAAAAAATAAATTTCTGTAAATTAAATTAAATTAACTATTTTTAAACTATCTTTAAACCCAATGAATCTGAATAA